TATATATATATATATATATATATATATATATATATATATATATATATATATATATATATATATATGTATATATATATATTTATATAAACGCGTAAATATATATTCGTTGAGATGCGTATGTACACAAAAATATGTACAAATCTTTTCGATAGAGTTTTTCGCTAACCCCCCTCCCCCCCTCCCCAACTTTAAAAATTTACCGTACACTCCTCGGTATACACATAATATGGCATCCGTTATCTTGGTGATACCTCTTATGAAGTCATCAGCGACACTAATTAAAGGCGATCTCAACATGCTTCATTATGTTAACATCAGAACGGCCGAATTCAATTCAGATATAAAAAAAAAAAGTACAAAATAAATAAATAAATAAATAAATTCATGCTCCAAATCAAACGATAGACTACCTCTTACCGTGTGCGCGTCATTAATTTCGTTAAAGTACATTGATTAAAGCTTCTAATCGTTAGATCTTCGACCGTTTAAAAAACAGGTTTGTTAAAAAAACCGTCGACAATGTGACGGCCGTTCCAGTGTTAAAAACGATGTCAAACCTCATGTTTCGGAATTCATCTTTCTTTTCTCGATAACACGAGCCGGACACGATATATCTGTATCGTACTATCGCGGTCAACGAACGGTCTGTGCCGGAGTGGTGCAACTAACGTGTTCAGAATTCACTTTTCAAGATCAATTGCACAGTCCAGATAGCAGAGGCTCTTAAAGGATGTCTTGAAAACCGCTAGGAAGCGTCAGCACAAGTAAGACGTCTCTCAGATATCTCTATGACGTCTTTAAGACGTCTCTCGGGGATTTCTGCCACCTGACGGTACGACTGATCGGAAACCAGCCATGGTCAACTAAGTCCTCTTTTCTCTTTTTATCGAGCTACACCAACAAGAGATGAAAAAACCAAAGAAATAACGTTCTAACAATGTAATAAATGTAATAATCATGACTAATTCACCATGACTACGATCAAGGCAACTTATCCTTAGACAGGAATAATTTCTACATGGAACATTAGCACCAAACGTGCGCTGATCTTGAATTAAAAAGAAAAAAAAAAAGAATAACCTGATTAATCCGAATCGCGTCATCATCGTCGCTTACTTATGAAAATGGCGCTGAGTATTTTCGGGTTGCGCTTTCGCCCGAACGCTTGTCACACGTGTTTCAAATACAACAGAGAACTGCGATGTAACGGCCAATTCAATACTCAGAAGTGATGCAATTTCCAATGGTATTCGGATAACCTGCATCTACAGCAATATGTCTTTTAGACAGAATGCATTGCCTAATAAAAATGTTATCTTCATCGATACAAACATTCTCATTGTATTTGCAATTACGTTTTTCTGACGAGAAACGTTTGAGAGAGAAAAATGTCGAGTATTTTCTTAAACTTTTCGCAGGATCACTTTCTCGACAGTTGACGCGATTTTTATCTCCATTGTATTAACACGCAAGTGTCGATATCAGTGCATCTTTAATGTACACGATATCCTACGTATTTTGCGTTGCTTTCACGCGATAAGTTCATCAATAATAAGGCACGTTATATTGGACGATTCGCGTCCGCAAAATCGATGTGAAACACGAAGGACACTTTGAACGCATAGATGTGCTGGATTTTTTAGGAGTTCAGGACAAAAAAAAGAAAAAAACAAGTGTGTTATATCGAATGAGAATAAATAACTTTTGACAGATAGTCACATCTGATTGATTACCGATAAAAGTGTCTCTACATGTAACATGAAACAATCAGAAAGCTTATAAACCAAATTTAAAGACTTTTTTTCTACACGTTATATAATATAGCAAAGAAATTAATAAACCGTCCGTTAAATTCGTGACAAACGGCAGATATTAGAAAATGAACTTTCTAAAATATATGAACATAAATTTGAAAAGAAAAAGGAGAAAACGCGATAAAGTTATTTATAACTCGATTCAACAAGACGACGATACCGCCCGATCCGGTAACTGAAACGCTTATTCCTAGACCATATCTTTAAATCGTTATTTTGACGAAATGATGGAAACTTTATGAACAAATCCCGGAGTGAATAGTCCTGAGTTCACGATTAGAAAAATAGTTTCACAAGACGCAAGTCCGATTTTATAAAAAATAGGGGTTTAGATCTGGAAATAAACTCTTCAATTCAGTGCGATCTTCTCTTCCCTCCCCCCTCCCCCCACTATCCCTTTCCCCACTCTGTACCTTTCGTTAAACTTTCGAATTGCAGACCAGCTGCTCGGTGGGGTCATTGTGTGCTCCGACGCACATGCAGAGGAAACAAACACGATAATCTCGATAATCGCAATAATCTCGCGTACAATTGCAATCGCGAAACGCGGAGCCGCAACGCGCGAGTCGAATTAAAAGTATTAAATAACCTACTGGAGAGAGTAGTGCACTGTTTCCTTTCTTTAAATAATCTGCATATTGTATATATACATACATATATATATATATATATACATATATATATATATATATATATATATATATATATATATATATATAT